AATAGATATACTGGGGTGTACGCTAGTATCTATGGCTGTGTGTTTCTCCTCGTGCTTGCGGTGTATGTACACCTGGGGTGTCTGCGCAGCAGCAAACCCCAAATCTATTCGTTTTAAATATATATTTCTTATTAAACAAATACACTCATCAGCTCTGCTACAGGGGCCCCTAGGGGCCCCTAGGGGCCCCTAGGGGCCCCCCTGTATATACATGTACCCTTGGGGGGGCCCCCTAGGGGCCCCCCCCCCAGGGTATACTGGGGGGCCCCCTTGCAGGCTGCTTTGGTGTTGGAGGCGTACTGAGACGAGGTGCATGTACACCCCAGAAAGGAGGTTCTGAGCTGCGGTGTATAGGCAGCTTATACGCGTGAGGTGTACATACACCCCAGGTGTAGTATGTACAGAATACACCCTCAGGTGTATGTACACCCCAAATGTGTATGTATACAGCAGTACTCTTGTGTATATTTAAAAAAAAAAAAGAAATCTTATTCTGCAGGGAATATACCCCTAAACCCTAAACCCCAAACCCTAAACCCTAAACCCTAAACCCTCGTTCCGGGGTCACGGCAGCCCCGCCCGGTGTGTGTATGGCTGTGTAGCTGCGTCTGTATATTTTCATCTTTTTTTATGAAAAAAACAAATATAAATAAAAAAATAATATTATTTTATATTTATTTGTCTATTTTCTCTTTATATTTCTCTTATTTCTGCTGCTGCTGCAGTTGACTGGCGGGTCGCAGCTGTCTGTATAGGTGATATACATCAGTGCATCTTTCTGTTGTTTTTTTTTTTTATTTTTCTTTTTTTTTTTTAATTTTTATTTTTCTTTATAAATAAATATTTCTGGGGTTTTAATTCATTATACACCTCAAATAGCTGCAGGTACAGCTGGTGCTGCTGCAGCAGCTGGGCGTGTTGCTGCCTCGCTGCAGCAGTTTCAGGTGTACATACACCTCAATAAGCAGAAAAAAAAAGTTTATTTACATTCATTTATTTTATTATAAACTTTCAGAAATGGCGACATCACAGAAGCTCACACAAATCGCCACAAATATCGTCTTGGTGCGCCTGCTAGCATTGAGGGTTTAGGGTTTATGAGGGTTTAGGGTTTACGAGGGTTTAGGGTTTTTCAAGACCTAGGGTTTAGGGTTTAGGCTCTACAAGTAGACTTGCCGCAGCCCCCGCTAACTTGCTCCCTGTACACCTGGTGCTGCGGCTCTTTCGTCAGGAGATATCAACGCTGCTGCTGCTGCTGCTGCTGCTGCTGTTGCTGCTGCTGCTGCTGCTGCTGCGTTCAGGAGAAAGCAATACAAGACAAGTTTGCTGCAGCAAAGCAGCAGCAGCAGAAGCCGGGGCAGCAGCAACAGAAAGAGGAACAAGAAGGAGGAAACACCGCTGCAGCTGGTGGGGTCTGTGTTTATTCTTTTTATGGGGCCCTCAGTGTGTTAGCCGCAGTGCATGCATGCAGCAGAAGCAGCAGCAGCAGATACAGCTGCAGCAGCAGCAGACACAGCAGCAGCAGCAGCAGATACAGCAGCAGCAGCAGCATATACAGCAGCAGCAGAAGCAGAAGCAGCAGCAGCAGAAGCAGAAGCAGCAGCAGCAGCAGCAGCAGAAACAGCAACAGCAGCATCAGATACAGTAGCAGCAGCATCAGATACAGCAGCAGCAGCAGCAGCAGCAGCAGCAGCAGATACAGAAGCAAGATAACATTCTTTTTTTTTAAAATATTGAGGTGTATGTACACCCGGATTGTTTGCTGCAGATGAAGAAGGGGGGGGCCTCGATGATTTGTCTCATTGGCGAGAGAAACGCATGCAAGAGCTCAAAGCAAGCTAAACCCTAAACCCTAAACCCTAAACCCTAAACCCTAAACCCTTGTGTGTTCAGTAACACCCCTGCAATGCGTATCTTTATCTTTCTGCTGCTCAACAAGCAACAACCACAGCAGCAGCAGCACCACCAACTGCAGCAGCAGCAGCAACAGCAGCAGCAGCAGCAGCAGCAGCAGCAGCAGCAGCAGGAGGTGTGTATGATGCATGCAGGCAGCAAGACAGAAGCAAACTGCATTGAGAGAGAAGGGCCACGGAGAATACACAGAAATACAAGAAACGGAGTTTCTAGGCATCGTCACCACGGCACCCAAAACTGTAAACCCTAAACCCTAAACCCTAAACCCTAAACCCTAAACACTAAAATATAAACCCTAAACCCTAAACACTAAACCCTAAACCCTGAAACATAAACCCTAAACCCTGAAACATAAACCCTAAAAGGACGAAACCCTAAACCCTAAACCCCTAAAATTTAAACCCTAGAGATGTCAACTCGATGCTTTATAGATATAAACACTAAACCCTCACAACATAAACCCTAAACCCTAAACCCTAACCCTAAACCCTAGAAGCTTAGACCCTAAACCCTTCATCAATAAGCCCCAGATAATGTAAACCCTAAACCCTACACCCTAAAACCCTAAACCCTAACCCCGGAAAGCAGTTTCTTTTGCATATGGAGAATTATGCCGCTTGTCTGTTGCTGCTGTCTCTACTGCTGCTGCTGCTGCTGCTGCTGCTGCTGCTCCTGTTGCTGCTGCTGTTGCTGCTGCTGCTGCTGCTGCTGCTGCTGCTGCTCAGGTGTGTCACTTTTACAGCCCGCGTTTTGAGCGATGCAAAATAATGGATAAACATTTAGAGGTGTTGGCGAGGGTTCACATAGAAACCCGCTTTCTCAAGTAGGGTTTAGGGTTTAGGGTTTAGGGTTTAGGGTTTAGGGTTTAGGGTTTGGGGGGTATTTGGGTGTGTAGAGTTTACAGTTTGTACGTGTGTATAAGGGTTTTTAGGGTTTAGGGTTTAGGGTTTATTTGTACGA